TTTTGGGCTCCAAAATCACTGCAGATGGTGATTGCATCCATGAAATTAAAAGATGCTTACTCCTTGGAAGGAAAGTTATGACCAACCTAGATAGCATATTAAAAAGCAGAGACATCACTTTGCCAACAAAAGTCCATCTAGTCAAGGCTATGGGTTTTCCAGTGGCCGTGTATGGATGTGAGAGTTGGACTATGAAGAAAGCTGAGTGCCGAAGAATTGATGCTTTTGAACTGTGGTGTTGGAGAAGACTCTTGAGAGTCCCTTGGAGTGCAAGGAGATCCAACCAGTCCACCCTAACGGAGATCAGTCCTGGGTGTTCACTGGAAGGACTGATGCTGAAGCTGAAACTCCGATACTTTGGCCACCTCATGTGAAGAGTTGACTCTTTGGAAAAGACCCTGATGCTTTGAGGGATTGGGGGCAGGAGGAAAAGGGGACGACAGAGGATGAGATGGCTGGATGGCATCACCGACTCGATGGACATAAGTTTGGGTAAACTCCAGGAGTTGGTGATGGACAGGGAGGCCTGGCATGCTGCGATTCATGGGTTTGCAAAGAACGACTGAGCGACTGAACTGAACTGAAGGAACTGCTGCTGTTTCTAAGGGGTGGTGCCAAACGGACTTGAAGACCAGATCTGGAGTCAGAACTCCTTGTGGTTCTTATGGGTTCACACTGAGACTGGGTTCCCCTCCAAGTAAAAGCTCTGATGCTGATAAATCAAGTTTGTAGTCTACAGAGCGGAAGCTTCTTTGCCTCCCCTCCTCCTCCAGGCCTAGCCCTGAGCCACTTGCCTGTCTCCCTGGACAGTTTTCCCATCTCGCTTTAAGCATCAAGTAAAACAGGTAAATAGGAATTCCAGCTCTATGGCCACTACCATCCCTGAAGCTCTTCGGAGCTTGCAAACCATTTTTACTCACCCTGTCTTCGTGATTTCTCTAGGTCTCTGTAACATTCTAAGCCTGAAAGAAGGCTTCCTCGTGGAAGGGGGATCTCTGAGCTGCCTCAAAGGATGCGAAATCTGTCTTTGAGGGGAGTACTGAACCTGTTGGATACTTCTGATTTGCTAAATGGGTAATTAAATTACTGGCATTCAATGAAGATAATTTTTGTTTTATATATTATTGTACCATTACCAATAAAATTTCTCACCCCCAAAACTCTCTCAATGTTGTATCTTAAATTTTTCTGCAGCCTCAGAAGTATATATATATATATATATATATATATATGTCTAGTCTTGGGCACACCCAACATCTATACTCAAATGGCTTTGTTTGGCTTGCTTCTAATCCTAATTAAACCAGTGCCATTTTGTTTCTTTGAACCCACTCTCAGCTGACTCAGTTCAGTACTAGTTTGGTTTGAAAGAATGCCAACTAGCCTGGGAGACAAAAGAGAACTTTGGGGATCATATTAGGCTTCACGAAAGGATCTTCTACTTGCCCCAACTGGTCAACTTAATCATGGCCTTTCCTGGGAAGTAATAAAAACATTGTTTTGAAAAATAACGAAAAAAAAAAAATTATTCCCCTGCTTCAAAAATATTGCATGAAGAGGAAATCTCCCTCTATCTGATTCCTTTCCTCAAAGTGAACCACTATTAATCAGTTGTTGCATGTTACACCCAATTTGTTGCTGGCTTTATGCAGACATTTCTAAATGCACAGATATCCAAAGTGGCAGACTGCTGCCCAAGACCTTGTATATTTCCGTTTATACTCACGGATACCTCCAAGTCAGTACCTGTAGATCTAACACATTATTTTCAGAGGCTGCACATTATTCCACTGCTTACATGTATTATAATAGATGCAACCATTTTCCTATGGAATGGATTTAGATTATTAACAGCATTTTAGTTACTGAGGAAAAGGTTGTAACACAGCTTCTTGTTTATGCATTTTGACATATTTATTTTAATATTTTTTGTAACAATAGGGTGGATTTGGAAGACTGGGATTGCCTTTATTCTTCATGCTGGAATGCCAACAGTGTAAGGAGGGTCCCCATCCCCCCTCCCCAGCCTTGCCAACACTTGGGCCAATCTGCTAGACCAAAAAATGTTAATCTCCTTGAGATTTAATTTGCATTTCCTTGACTACTAGTGAAGCTGAGCATCTTTTCATATGTTTATGGAAAATTTGCATTTCCTATTCAGTAAATTATCTACTCTTATCCTGGACCCTTGTTTCTATCGGTTGCTTTTCTATTTGATGTGTAAGAGCTCTTTGCAGACATAGGATATGCTCTTTGTCTCTTATAGATGAGGCAAGTATTTTTCTATCACACCGTTATCTTTTGACTTTGGATGTGTTTTCAGTATAACCGAAAATTTTCATTGTTGTCAAATATGTTCAAATTTCCCGTCTGTGTTTCTGGGCTATCTGTCTTAGAATGCCACTCTATATTTCCTTTAACTTTATTATCTTACTTTTTCCAATTTAAAACTTCAATTTGAGTTTCATTCATTCATTAAGTTGCTTAATTAATTCATTAGTAACTGGGTAAGTCAGGCAGCTAGCTTTATTCTAAATGAAGAGTCAGGAATTTTAAAAGTATTTAATCAGCAAAAATGTACACTTTGGTGGTGGAGGGGTGAGGTGGGCAGGAAAGGACCCATTAAGTTTTCTAGGAGAAACTGAGATCCCTGAAGCTGGATCCAGATCTTTAACTCACAATCTGGGAAAAACATCTAGAGGTTTTTGATCGCCTAGCCAATCATCGGTTGGACTCCTCTGAATGTGCGTGTGTGTGCGTGATTTAGCTGTTTTTTAAAGAAGGGATTTGTAGACGAAAATATTGTTCTCCCTCAAAAATCTCCTTATTTATAAACTGGATCCTGTGGACTCCATCCTCTCTGTTGTTCCATTTTAGATGTGTCTCCCTCAGCCCGTGATGAGCTCACTGAGGCTGTGCCTTCACTCATCTCGGTTCTGACTGGATGCTGGCTGAACTTGTCTTCCAAACCTCTAAAGATTTATTTCATGTGTGTCCATATAGTCTGAGAGCATTTTAACCTTTTAAAGAAGAATTTGAAGGTTTCCCTACAAGCAGATGAGGAACCAGCAGTAGCAAGACTTCTCCACAGACAATGTCTTTTATCTTTCCATTTGCAAATGAAAGTACCAATAAATACTTGTAAAATTTTATCACTCTGTTAAACTTCAAATTCAGACTTGTCAGTAATTACTGGTTAGCATTAAAAGGATGAGATTAGGGATTGAGGTCCAGGAAGAATACACATTTTGCTTGGAGGCACACAGAGCAACCGGGTCTCTTGTCTTCTCATTTTCTGTTGCAGTTTGGCCCTTGACAAAGGACGAATGCTGTGGTGAAGGGCACAGGTCGGGTGAGAAAGGACAAGGCAGGACCCTGCAGCGACAGGGGCCAACCTGACCTGTTGACACTTCCCCTGCCTTGTCGGTAAAAAGGTGGGTCAGGCAATTCTGAGATCCCTTCCTGGGGCTGCTGCATTGATGATGTGGTCATCATTCCTCTTTCCCTCTGTTGCTGACAAACAGAAACTCTCTCCGAAAAGCTGGCTGCTTCAGAAGGACTCTAATTAAGGGACCTCTGCCTTGAACAATAAATACTATGCTGTAGTACAATATGGACAGATATCTGCTTTGCGAGGTGGATGCCCCCTGGAGCAAGACAGACACAGGTAGGCTGAGGAAGACAGAGCCAGTTTCCTCTCCGAGTCTCGGGGGAAGCTGGCCCTTAAACGAATTCTCCCAGGCAGATATCATTACAAATGAAGGCAAGTGTTCTGAGGGAAAATCTGGGATGCTTGGGGAGAAAACAGCAGGAGGGCTTGGTTTAGATTAGGGAGTTAGGGAAAAGCAGAAGTAGCGGGTATGAAAGGCTTTTGCAAAGGTTTAGAGCTTTACATATGGGAAGAAAATAATAATAATGAAAGTGTTTGGAAGGGCTCATCCTCATTCATGGGTCACTTCCTAGGACTCAAGGAACCTGCCCCCTCCCCTTGAATTATGTAGGTATCCAGGATAAGGACTTGGGGAGTCTTCACAAATGCTAATAGGTGAGCATTTTACAGGCTGCCCCCTGCCCCTCCACATCCTCACCCGCAACTAGTTTGAATGTGGAGATGAATGGAGAGGATGGCATTTCCAGTTTGGGAAAAAGGTGGAGAATCTTTCCCACCCCCATCCCCAACACAGGGGCAGGGCGGGGGGTGGAGGAGGGCAGGTTTCCCTGCTCCAAATCATCCGAAGAGGAATTCTTCCAGGGGAAATCCCACTTTGTTGTGCATTTGGTTATTAAGGGGGCTGCCTGGGAGACTGGGGTTGTTCTGGGGAATGTGGGTAACCCTGTCAACCCTGCCTCCCAACACACCTGCAGGAAAACTTGATCAGAGCGAACTGAAGATTTCATAGTGGTGTTGGGTTGGGAGAGCCGAGCTGAGGGTGTTCATTTCCCGGGAAGAATCTATCAGGGTCTGCTAATTAACAGTAGCTGACACTCAACACTCACCCTGCGCTGCTGGGCACCGTTCTCAGCGCTTTCAAAATTATTTCTCAATAACAGCCCTATGAGGTAAGCGCCATTACTAACTCCATTTAGCAATTGAAGAAACCAAGGCACAACGAGTCTTGAGTAGTGACAGCAGCCGCTTATCCTTTTGCCTCCGACAACCAGGAGCCAAGATTTCCGAACCAGGGTTTGGGCTGCCGGAGTTGTGGACCACAACTCCTATGTGAACCTCATCCGCCTCCCCAGAATTCGGGAAATCCCTGGTTTTTGAAAGGCTAACTCGGGAGCCCTTGGGGACCTTTTGGGGAGCCTCCCGTCCATTCCCTGCGGAAGCTGGGCCGAGCCGCCACCCTCTCCCCCCTCGCGGTGGTGGGGACAGGTTGACGGACGGCGGGAGGGCGCCCGTGGCCCCGCTCCGAGCCCCCAGAGACCAGGCCCAGCAGCTCCGCTTTCTGCGCGGTCTCCGCGAGGTGTCGCCTTCGGCCGAAGAAACCACCGCTGCGCCACCCTCGTCGCCCGCAGTTATTTATTTATTTATTTTCAAACAAGGGGGCGCCCCTCTCCTTTCAATTTAAAACTAGAAAAACCTCCGGCGATCTCGTTCCTAAATGGGCGCGTCCTTTCCCTCCCACTTTGCACCCTGGCTCCCGCCTCCCTTCCGAGATCACCCACGAGCAACCACCCACTTCCCCGCCCTCCCCGTCCCCCTCCCCTCACTGCCCGGCTCGACGTTGGCCTAGCGCTCAGCTGCACACACGCGCCGTCGAAACGGGGGCTGGGTTAGGAGCCTCTGAACTGTCCCCCACCACCTCCCGCTCCAACCGCGCAACCTCAACCAACACCCCCGGAGCCCTCCGGAAAAAAATTTTTTTTTTTTTCTCCAATGTCGAGCCATGGCCAGGCCCGCGGGTTGGGTGCGGCATTGCACGGCTCGACCCGCAGCTGGTCCGCGAGTGCACCCGGTGCAAGCCCGGGGGTCTAAAAGGGCGGGAGGAGCACGCCCCGGGCTTCCCAGCTTTGCAGCCTCCGTTCTGCAAAGAAGAAAAGCAAGTGGCTTTTGGCGCGAAAGCCTTGGCGCCTCCCCTGATTTTTATGGAAATCAAGAGGGCGGGGTAAAGCCGCTCTCCTCTGCCTTTCTCCCTCCCCCTTGTCTGTGCCGCAGCCCCCTTCTCTCCCCGCCCCCCGGGTGTGTCAGATTTTTCAGTTAATAATATCCCCCGAGCTTCAAAGCGCAGCCAGTGACAGTCATCTGTCTGGACGCGCTGGGTGGATGCAGGGGGCTCCTGGGAACTGGGTTGGAGCCGAGCTCGCGCTAGCCAGGCGCAAGCGCGCACGGACTGCAGCCACCCGAGGACCACCCCCCGCCCCTGGCCACCCGGGGACCCCCGCACAGAATCGCCTCCGGATCCCCGGCAGTCGGCGGGAGGTAAGGACCGGCGCCCCGGGAGCGGCGAGCGCGGCGGGAAGGCAAGCCCTGGACGGGGATCGCGGCTGACGCACCGGGGGCCCGAATATGCACGGGGGACTGCTTCCGAAACAAAACCGTCTCGGGGTTTTCCCTGAAAAGCCAGTTCCAGTCCCCAAGGCTCCAGGACTGGAGAGACCCGCCCTAATCCCTCTACTGCCCTTGCCAGGGGGGTGTAATGGCTTCATCGAAAGGACATTCACCCTTTTCTAGAACGTTTGTCTGCATCTGAGCTGACGGGGAGCTGGCGCGTCCCCACCCCGAAACTGGGTTCGTCTCCAAAGGGTGCCCCCAGAGGAAGTCGAAGGGGGTTCAGTAGGGCGAGGCCGTCGCGGTGGTAATCTGGGTCACGGCTGCTCCAGCTCGGAGGAGACAGCGGCTCTCTGCGAGACCCTCCTTGCACTGGTGCCCCTGAGCCGTTCCCAGGAGCTGGGGTTCGGCCTGTCTCAGGAAGAGGGCGTACTTGGGGGTTTGGAGCAGCGGGGGTGGGGTTAGAGAGGTTCAGAATCAGCTATTGGCAGTACTCTGCCTGCAGCCAGTGACTGCTGGGGGCGTCTCATAAATTTTTTGGGGGGGGACTGGATTCAGGATTGGGGTGCCTGTTGTTGCTCTCGGTCTAGAGAAAGGATTTTTCCCATTTGCAAAGTTGCCTGAATCCCCCCCACCCCTTCCCCCGCTATTGCTTGAAGTCCGGAGGTGGCAATTTTACAAAGGAGGAATTGAGGGTACTCTAAATCCTATACCCAGTTGCTGGGTTGGAGGCCTGGGCTTCCTCTGAGCAGCTGGCCCTACTTAGGTGCCACCGGGGCCGTCTACGAGCTGGTGGGAGCTAGAATTCTGCAGCCTTTAACAGCCCCTTCCCCCAGGCAGTGCCTGGTGTGAATGAAATGGCAGTTTCCAAAGTTGGAGAGCCAGGCCACCACCCCCCGCATCTGCATGCCCCCTCCCACCCCTGTCGTAGACAGCTTGTACACAAAAGGAGGGAGGGAGAGAGCGAGAGACACAACTTCCTCCACCTTCGGGAGCGCTGGGCGGAGTGGGGGGCTTGGAGGGGAGATTGAGGAGCCGAGGAAGAGGGGGTGACCGCTGCCTGTCCCCCCCAACCCCCCCACCCCGCATCCGGCTCCGCTTGCCAACCCTCTCCTGGTGTGTCTGTCGGTTGCAGTGTTGGAGGTTGGCGCGGGCCCCCGCCCTCCACGCCCCCCACGGGAAGGAAGCACCCCCCGAACTAAAAAGAGCGGAGCGGAAAGAAGCCCTCATTCGGGGGCCAGGAGGCGAGCCGATGCCGAGCTGCACCGCGTCCACCATGCCGGGCATGATCTGCAAGAACCCAGACCTCGAGTTTGACTCGCTACAGCCCTGCTTCTACCCGGACGAAGATGACTTCTACTTCGGCGGCCCCGACTCGACCCCCCCGGGGGAGGACATCTGGAAGAAGTTTGAGCTGTTGCCCACGCCCCCGCTGTCGCCCAGCCGTGCCTTCCCGGAGCACAGCCCCGAGCCCCCGAACTGGGCCACCGAGATGCTGCTGCCCGAGGCCGACCTCTGGGGCAACCCGGCCGAGGAGGACGCGTTCGGCCTGGGGGGTCTGGGCGGCCTCACCCCTAACCCGGTCATCCTCCAGGACTGCATGTGGAGCGGCTTCTCGGCCCGCGAGAAGCTGGAGCGCGCCGTGAGCGAGAAGCTTCAGCACGGCCGGCCGCCCTGGCCGGGCCGCCCCGGGGCCGCCCTGCCTGCCGAGCTCGCCCACCCGGCCGCCGAGTGCGTGGATCCCGCCGTGGTCTTCCCGTTCCCGGTGAACAAGCGCGAACCCGCGCCCGTGCCCGCCTCCCCGGCCGGTGCCCCGGCGGCAGGCGCCGCGATCGCTTCAGGGGCGGGCGCTGCAGCCCCTGTGGCGGCCCCGGTAGTCGCCCTTCCGCGTACCGGCGGCCGCCTGGCCAGCGCCAGCGACCACAAGGCCCTCAGCACCTCCGGAGAGGACACCCTGAGCGACTCAGGTAAAGCGGGAGCCAGGGTCCGGCTGCCTCCTTGGGGCGCTGGGGCTGGGGTGCCCCCCTCTCCGCGTTTGTGGTTCACGAGTTCTGGCTTTGGGAGAGAGTATTTTAGAGACAGTGCTGATGGCTGAGAGGTTAGGTTTTTCCCAAGCCGATCCCCAGGGTTTGGAGGGGAGGGTTAGTAAAAGCTGTGTTCTCCAGCCTCACCTTAACTGAAGTTCCTTCAGCTCCCTCCGGGGAGCCTGACTCCATCACTGGCCCCCACCCGGTCCTGCATCTCTCTCGTCTGCGTGCCCTCCCAGGGGGGTAAAAATTAGGAAAAGTTGAGTGGTTAAAGCCGAGTTGGGGTTCAGGGAGCCGCAGGCTGCATTGCTTGGACAGAATCTGTTAGCCCAAGGGGTGAAAAAAGACTGAGACACAGGTCAGGGGTGGAGAGACGCCCCATAAAGGCAAGCCTGTGCAAAATCCTATTAAGGGTGTAGGAAGTTAAGAGGCACTGCACAAATAGAGTACCGATTTTAGCTTTTATGTTTTCAAACCTCCTTACTCTTCCCCACCTTCCCTCTCTCTGGGTGGTGGGCTATTTGCTCCTGGTCGGTCGCCAGCAGGCGGCGATATGCTAGCCGGCAGGCGGGCGAGGATCGGGAAAGGCTAGGGGTGGTGGGGCCACCCCCCTTCTCTTCATTGAGCAGCTGGCGGCAAGTACCACAGCGGTTGTGTGCATTCTCAAGGGGCGGCCTCTTCACAGTGTGCAGTGAAAACCGGCCGGGTTTTGTCTTCTAGCCAGAATTCTAGGACTAATTTCAGATCCGAGTTGTTTTCTGTAACCCAGTGCCCTTCAAAGGTGAGGGCGGGCACTTAGCGGGCTGTCTAGGAATGCACACACCCTGGAGCATTCATTGATTAGTTCTATTGTGTGCCTGCTGCTGAAACTGAAGGGTAGGGTTAAAACCAAGATTTTGCCTGGAACTGAAGCACTCTACCCAAATACTGGAATAGCTCTTGTCCCTGGAGTTGGGAGCCTTGGACCTTGAAATCCAGTGTTTTCAGAATACAGATGCATAAAAAGCCTAAATTTCCTTTGGGCTGAGGACAGATTGGTCCCAGGCTCCTGGAAGGAAACTTGGTGATAAGCCTCCAGTTTGAACGGGTCTGTCCCTTTAATGTCTGTGCCTTGACAGCTTTCGGTGAGGAAGCACTTCCTTCCAACAGCTGTCTTCTTGGCAGAAAACCAAAACATTGGCTTAAAGGGACCCACAGACTGGAACAGCCTCACATTTCGGCTTTAGAACAAATCCCACAATTGTTCAGCTTTCCGGTCCCCTTCAGATCAAGCCGAAGATGTGTTTTGATTTTCATGCTTGCATTTTAAACAATAATTTTCTATCCGAGCCTGGTAGTAAATGAAAAGGGGGGGTGGGAAATGGACACATGATGCTACACGTTCTTGTGGCTGTTGTTGGTGGTGACTATGAGAAGAGGTGCCCCGATATTTGGGTTTAGAGCTCCGGTGGTTTACAACTTTGCTGTTAAGGTTTAATCTTTGTTAGTTGAAAAACTGCTTACTGTATAGAACTCATGTTCATGGAAGACAAGGTATTTTTCTTCCTTAGTTAATTAATTGTTCTTTAAGTTTATTTGACTTAAAAATCAAACTCCATCACATGTAAGTAGTGGCTAACTGAGGCTCCTAAAATGAGAATTGTCAGTTAAGCATGGAGATGGAAATATAAATAAGTCTACGGGGCAGACTAGCGACGATGATGAAAGCTTACTGTTTATTGGGCTTCTGTCTATATATTATCCATTCAACTCAACCTATGGTGTCATTCCCCATTTCATTGCTGGGGAAACTGATGAAGCCAGGGTTCTGTCTTGACTCCAAAGCCAAGGTTCTTTCTGTTTCTGCCACCCACTGAAGCTTGAATGGAGGAGGAGGATGGGGAGGGAAAAAGTATATACATCTCTGTTCAGAGACTGATGCTGATGGATCAGTAATAGCAGACCACGTGCTGGGGCCTACCTTGTGAGACTGTGTATATTTCATTCCTATGTGCCTCACCGTGAGAATAACTCTCATCTTGTTCTCAAAGATGATGAAGATGAGGAAGAGGAAGATGAAGAGGAGGAGATCGACGTGGTGACCGTGGAGAAGCGGCGATCGTCCTCCAGCAGCAAGGCTGTCACCACCTTCACCATCACTGTGCGTCCCAAGAGCGCAGCCCTGGGCCCTGGGAGGGCTGCGTCAGGGGAGCTGATCCTCAAACGCTGTGTCCCCATCCACCAGCAGCACAACTATGCTGCCCCGTCGCCCTACGTGGAGAGCGAGGAGGCACCCCCCCAGAAGAAGATCAAAAGCGAAGCTTCCCCACGGCCCCTCAAGAGCGTCCCCCCACCCAAGGCTAAGAGCTTGAGCCCCCGCAACTCTGACTCGGAGGACAGCGAGCGCCGTCGGAACCACAACATCCTGGAGCGCCAGCGCCGCAACGACCTGCGGTCCAGCTTTCTCACGCTCAGGGACCACGTGCCAGAGCTGGTGAAGAACGAGAAGGCCGCCAAAGTGGTCATCTTGAAAAAGGCCACCGAGTACGTCCACTCCCTCCAGGCTGAGGAGCACCAGCTTCTGCTGGAGAAGGAGAAGCTGCAGGCCAGACAGCAGCAGTTGCTAAAGAAAATTGAGCATGCTCGGACTTGCTGAACGCATCTCAGAACTGGACAGTCACTGCCACTTTGCACATTTTGATTTTTTTTTTTTAAACAAACCTTGTGTTGACATTAAGAATGTTGGTTTACTTTCAAATCGGTCCCCCGTCAAGTTTGGATCTGGGGTGGGGAGCAGGACACGAGGGGTCCTACCAAGACCTGCATTGATGGGATGCTGGTGACCCTGGCGGCTTTTCCTGTGCGTCACTTCTGAGACAGCGGTTGAAGCCTGGGACCGTTGGGAGCCTTCTGGGGCTGTTGAAGTCACCTTGTTTGTTCCAAGTTTCCAGACAGAAAGTCATTCCTTCTTTTTAAAATGGTGCTTAAGTTCCAGCCGATGCCACGTAGGGGTTTGCCACTGATACCCCTGGGGAACATTTCTGTAAATACCATGGACACACCTGCCTTTTTGTATACGTCCTGGGTAATGAGAGGTGGCTTTTGCGGCCAGTATTAGACTGGAAGTTCACACCTAAGTACTGTAATACCTCAATGTTTGAGGAGCATGTTTTGTATACAAATATATTGTTAATCTCTGTTATGTACTGTACTAATTCTTACACTGCCTGTATACTTTAGTATGATGCTGATACATAACTAAATTTGATACTTATATTTTCGTATGAAAATGAGTTGTGAAAGTTTTGAGTAGATATTACTTTATCACTTTTTGAACTAAGAAACTTTTGTAAAGAAATTTACTATATATATATGCCTTTTTCCTAGCCTGTTTCTTCCTGTTAATGTATTTGTTCATGTTTGGTGCATAGAACTGGGTAAATGCAAAGTTCTGTGTTTAATTTCTTCAAAATGTATATATTTAGTGCTGCATCTTATAGCACTTTGAAATACCTCATGTTTATGAAAATAAATAGCAATTAAATGATGCAACTTTTTTCCTTCCTTAATAGCAGTGGTTAAACTCTTACCTCTTAAGCAGCAATTGTAAGGAGCACATAATCTAGAGAGGGAACTTGGTTTCCACAGATAAGTCATTTTATACCTGTACAGTCCTGGCTGGGGAGGGGCCATTGTTCCCCTTTGGGAGGATACTGAGCTTAGGAAGGTTATGAGCTTTCTCCCAAATTACACAATATTGATATATTATTGGTGATTATATGTGCTAGCAGTAGCATTGCATAGTTTACAAAACACTTTGCTATCTTGTTGTTTAGTCACTAGGTCGTAACTGACTCTGCAACCCCATGGACTACAGCACTGCAGGCTTTCCTCTCCTTCACTGTCTCCTAGAGTTTGCTCAAATTCTTGTCCATTGAGTCAGTGATGCTATCTAACCATCTCATCCTATGCCACCCTCTGCTCTTTTTGCCTTCAATCTTTCCCAGCATCAGGGTCCTTTTAACTAGAGCTGGGACATCAGATTCTTTAGAATGAGAAGTATAATTAAGGCCCCGAGTTCTGCAAATTGGTTGTGCTTAGTGTTGGTAACATTTGTCCTATGAGATGATGGCTTTATATTTGCATACAGTATATGTAGTTGGTCTCCAAGAAGAAAGCTCTGGTCAAAATTTACTAAGCTAAGGCATTGTAGCCAAATAAGGATGGAGTTGGTCCCTCCCCTCAAAAAGCTAACTGATGTGTGGTGTGACAACTGTGTGGCCCCGATCAAGTGCCCCATCCCTTCAGGAGAGACACTGGGGTATGAGTGTAGCTCTGTCTGCTTGACACTCCTGATAGTTTGGACTAGCCTGTGGAAGCAGCATTAACCTTTGCAGGTTCTGGAGTCTGTGGAACGGGGATGGCAATGAAGGGCTAGGAGGCAATTTCACAGTTTACCTCATAGGAGGTGATGTCCTTGTTGGGGAGGCGTTCAGCTTCTCAGAATAGAGACTACAAATAAAATACATCTCTTAGGTGATGGTGCTATTCAAGGCCATTTCTGTAAGGTTTCATTCATCTCAGATAGGAGCTTTGTACTAAAAAGACTTCTGCTCAGAAGAAAACGGGTCCAGGAATGAGAAAGGGTTTTGCTTGCCTAGGCCATGTAGGTCTCCAGCTGCTTTGGCCATTTTACAAAGTCCCGTGCAGTTTAGAATTTGAGGTCCTCCCCTGCCCCTGCTGGCTTTCGGCCACATTTCCTAAGAGGCTGGTGGTATTGCCAATGGTCAGACCACGTTGAAATCTTTTTACTCCTTAATGTCCCTCCTTGCCCCCATCCCCACAGTAGAAAGTAACACCCTTTGAAAGTCCTTTTTGAATTGTCATTCGAAAGACTTCCCATCTATTTGCACTTTACTGGCCCCAAATCTCCCTGCAGTCTCTGTATTTTGTCTGTACCCATGAGCCAAGAGACCTCAGATTCTTGAAACTCAACTCAGTCATCCCAATTTCTGTTTGTTGCAATCACATAAGGTGCATACGGAAGTGTTTCAGATGAGCTGGAACTCCAGCCCTGGAGGAGGTTAAACCGTTGAGATGAATGAGGCCCTAGACTGGCATTCCTACGAGGCTTCATTTTTGCTCTGGCTGCTGGGAATCTCAGAGCCAAATTCCGTCCCGTTCAGAGCTAAATTTTACACACTTAGTGCCCATTCTCTCTTCTAAATGTTTATGATCTATTTTTCATTGTTAATTTAACGACCTTTTAAATAATGTTCTTTATGTTACCTTAAAGAGAACTTTTTGCTTTAGGTGGATCATAAATATGTATTAAAATATTAAAACTAAAATAAAATACCTCTTATTTGCCATTGGGATAGTGCCACCCAATTTAGCTCTGCAATTATCTAAAAAGTAATTGCTATAGTCACAGAAGAATTGAACCACTCCTTTCAATAACATGAGAGACCCTCTTTGCATTCCAAGAGCAGTTTTGAGACTGTTTGAGAAACCACTCTGTACTGGTTAGATCAATAAATCATAGGACTTGGAGGGATGGTGGAGGTCATCTCGTTGCATTATTTCATTTTATGGAATGGGGTCATGGGATCCCACATCAAATTAGTGGCATATCCTGGGACTGGAGTTTGCTGATAATCAACCCCTTGTTCTTCCCATGCTACTGGCTTCCCCCACACTCACATGATTGCTTCCTTACCTCCTGGCTCACCGATCCATCTACAGAGTGTTTCCATATTAGTCCTAGCTAGCTCACCCTGCACAAAAACTTCCAAAGCTTCCCCACCACTTACAGCAGTGGTCCCCAACCTTTTTTGGCACCAGGGGTGGATTTCATGGAAGACAATTTTTCCACTGACCGAGATTGGGAGGGATGGTTTCAGGATGATTCAAGTGCATTACATTTATTGTGCATTTTATTTCTAATATAATGCTGCCCCTGACCTGGCAGGAGGTACCAGTCCAAGGCCTGGAGGTTGGGGATCACTGACTGATTAAGTCCAAATCTTCAACCCAGCTCATGAGGCTGCTTCCATCCTGGACACCAGCTCCATCACCCCTCCCCCTCCACAGATACCTCTCCTTCCAACCACATGTTCATGGTCTCTCACCTCCGACTTGTCCCACTATTTTCCTTCCTCTTGGGTTACCCAGATTCCGTTTATTGAAATATTTTCCAACCTTGAATGGCAAATGCAACGTCACCTCCTTCAAGGAGCATTTCTCATATCCAAGGTGGAGGGTGGGGGGTGGATGTTCAGCTCCTAATCCCTCATTACCTGTGAAGAGAGAAGAGCGGTCCTCATCACCCTACTGGACGTCCTTGACCATTAAGTGAAAGTTGCTCAGTCGTGTCCAGCTGTTTGTGACTCCGTGGTCTATACAGTCCATGGAATTCTCCAGGCCAGAATACTGGAGTGGGTAGCTGATCCCTTCTCCAGGGGATCTTCCCAACCCAGGGATCGAACCAGGGTCTCCTACATTGCAGGTGGATTCTTTATCAGCTGAGCTACCTCCCTTAAAGCAAGTACAGCATTCTGTACTCTTAAAGCAAGAGGAGCATTCTGTCCTCCTCTGATTCTTCAGCCCTGGCCAGGTGGCTGACAGATGATAGGGCCTTGGCAGAAGCTGGTAGAAGGGCTGATGGCTGAGTAGGCAGCAGAAGAAGGAACGCAGTGAGAAACATTATGGAGTGCCTCCTGCCAACTGGGTTCCCAAGTTCTTGGGCTAACTCCTGTCAAGGAAGCAGATCCACTGGGCATCAGTGAACATTGGAAACTGACTGCTGAAAGTGACAATAAAACACACACGGAGGCTTGTCTTTAGGGAGCCCACAGTCTGGAATCAAGTCCTAGGTGGGAAGTATATATGGTTGATCGAAAATCTGTGAGGGTTTCCGTGGCTGAATCCAGTTCCTCCAGGCTCCTGGTATGGAGCTTGCTATTGGAGGGAGCCGGTTTGCTGGTCTACTGTGGGCCTAAGAAGTCTTTACACTCGTCTTGAGGCCACAGGTCCCCTGTGCTATAGTGACAATGGTTCCAATCCTCCCACCTCTGTGTAGCATCCGAGAGATCATCCACGTTTTTATACCTGAGTCTCACAATTCTCTAGAAGTGCTGGCCGGTTCATTCTATACCTGTGTTGGGAACTGGGTCTTTTGGGTTTGACTCTTTCATCCCCATGATGGCTGTCTTTTGAAAATCCTAATTTGGGTTGGGTTTGGATTGTCTTTAGAGTCAGAGGTTATTATATTTGGAAGTGGCTTACCTGATGGCTCAGATGGTAAAGAATTTGCCTGCAGTGCAGGAGACCCAGGTTCAGTCCCTGGGTCGGGAAGATCCCCTGGAGAAGGAAATGGCATCCCACTCCAGGATCCTTGCCTGGAGAAATCCATGGACAGAGGAGCCTGGTGGGCTACAGTCCATGGGGTCACAGAGTCAGAGACGACTGAGTGACTAACACTAGAAGCCATTAAGCTCGGTGTCCCATTTCAGAGGTGGAACACTGGATAAGAAAGTAATAGATGGTCTGCTCACTTTTCTTTTTCCTTTCTTCCTTTCTCTCCCTCCCATCCTCCTCCCTTCCTTCTGTTCCTTCTCTCTTTCATTGCAAACATTTACCGCCAAGCACAGATCCAGAAGCTTGGGAGACATCAGTGAACAAGAGACAAAACTCTCCCAAATCTATGATTTAGGGAGCTTATATTCTTGGAGAGAGTGACAACAGTAAAAAAAAGAAAGAAAATAATCAACTAAATTAAATAGCATTGAATAAGGTGATGAATGCTGTGAAAGTAGAACAGGATGGAGGAATTCTAAGGTGCCACAGCAGGAGGGAAGAAAGTTGCAGTTTAGAGTAGAATGATCTGGAAGTTTCCCAGGAGCTGAGGGGCAGGGCTGGCGGAGAGCAGCCCGGGGCACAGTTGTGGCCTCAGTCTTCCCAGTTCAAGGCTCTTCCTTCTGCATCTTCCTCTGGATGTCTGCAAAGTTGCCCCAATAACGTCTTCTGTCCTCCCCCAAAGGGAAGCAAGAGAAAGCCGTAGTTGAGTGTGCTCTAGAGTTAAAGCATCCGGTTTGAATCTGACTCTCACAGAAAAGCTCTGGGCTGTGTAGTTTCCCCACAGGCACTTTAGGGTTGAAGGCACCATGTACTTCGCCTGGGCTTCTGGGGGATTTCAGAAATCAGCTAACACATGGCACGTGGAATAGTGCCTGGTGCATGCTGGGAACGATGTACGTCTATTCAATAATCTGATTTCTTGTTAACAGAAACCTTCCTTTCTCCATTTTCCTAGTATGTTACTAGGGCAAAGAATCTTTTTTTTTAAAACCAAAAACCTTTGCTGGTAGAACAAATTCACAAGCCTGCGCTTAACAAGAACTTTGCAGACTTTTGTTCCTCAATAGAGGCCTTACAAAACCTGAAAACGGGTACCTTGGAAACAAATGAATGTGAGCTTTGAAGCCTATTTTAAGACGAAGCCTAGGAATTTGAGTGTGGCAGAACATCGACGCCTTCTACAATGGTTTATT